GGCTGTTGTACATAGGGTCGCTATGAGTTGCAAGCGACTGGATGGCACATAACAACAACAGCAACACCTATTTATATTTAGTGTTTTGACTAATGCCTCATTTCATTTTTTTTAATTTCATGATGAAGTATTTGCTTTTGTCTGTATATTTTAATCCTGTTGACTCCAAATACATAAATTGTATGTAGCTCTATCAGCTATGTCAGTTATGACTATAGAGGAACAAAACTTAATAGAAAATATAATTCCATGTAGAACCTTCATCCTGTTCCCTGACAAACAAACAAACAAACAAACTCTCTTTTAGCAATTATACCCTGTTTCATGGCTGCTTTCTTGGGCCCCCCTTTGTTGCCTGATCAGGCCATCAATATTCTTGGCATTTTATTATGCTTTTTTTCATCGTTTGCTTGTCTCTAATGATCCAGGGCATAGTTTTCACAATTACCTGTTATACATCAGAGAGCTGGACAATGACAAAAAAGGACAAAAGGAGAATTGATGATTTTGAGTTGTGGTGCTGGAGAAGAATATTGAACATACTACAGACTGCCAAGAGAAGTAACCGGTCTGTCCTTGAAAAGGTGAAGTCAAGTTGTTCCCTGGAGGCAAGGTTTTTGAGGCTTCTTCTCACATGTTTTAGGCATGTTGCCAGGAGGGAACAGTCCTTGGAGAAGGACATCATACTTGGAAGGGGGGGGGGGACAGTGTAGGAGAGGAAGACCCCAGATGAGATAGATTGACACAGTAACTAGGATAATGAGGGTAGGCGATTCAAAGACAGTGAGATTGGCCCAGGACATAGCAGGGTTCAGAGCAATTGTGAGTAGGGTCGTTATGAGTCGTGGATGACTATATGGCACATAATAATAATGACCCAGAAAATGTTTGGGACTTGTGAACCCAATGAGTTAACAGACTTAATAAATATCCTCCTCTGCATTATGAAGAAGTTCCTTATAGCCTCGAGCTACCCACTAGGAAACAGTATCTGTATGACAGATATTCAGTGTGACATCAGCATTGAGGGTTAACTTAGAGTTAACTTAGAGAACACCAATAGAAAAAACTCAACTGTATGATCTACTTTAAAAATGAGACAAATATGTTAAAGATAATGCAATATGTCATGAGAGAAGGCGGAGAGCATTACGCTGAGTGAACTAACTCAGTCTCATAAGGACAAATACCGCACAAGACCATTATAAAAATAGAAAGATGACTAGCAGGATGTGTGTAAAAGTCAAAAGGGGGACAGACAGGGATGGGAGACTGAGAGTGGAGGGAGGCAAATCACAAGGTTGCAGAGTTTGGTGAACAGAGGGAGTGAGTGAACGAATTAGGACAGATCCAGCAGGAATGTGAAAAGATGGATTAACATTGGGCAAAGGTCAATGATGATTAATTTTATAAAACATAATGCAAAGATGTTCTGGGGGCCTCGTGATAAGAATCTGCACTGCAATCCGAAGGTTTGTGGCTCTAGTCCACCAACTGCTCTGTGGGAGCAGGATGGACAATCTCCTCCCATGTGATTTACTGCCTCTGAAAACCCACTGGAACATCAGCTATGAGTCGGTTCTGACTCAATGGCATGCAACAACAATAATGCATGGGAATTATTGTATCAAACACAATGTGAATGAAGAAATGTATGAAACACAATGAACATAAATGACACATAATGGACATGAATTTTGTATGCAAGCCAATAAAAAATAAATAAAAATATTTTAAAAATAATAATAATACATCTCTTTAAGTAAATAGGATCCCTCCTGGCACAAGTGATAGACTAGTCACTGTACTAATATAGTAAAATATCCGTGATTCAAGTTCCTTCTGCTCGACAGGACAAAGATGACACAGTTTGTTTCCAGATAGGTATACAGTTTGGAAAACCTTATAATAATATTTCTAACCTGTTGTCTAGGATTGCTATCAGTCAGAATAGGCTCAATGTATGTGGGCAAGCAGTAGATTCTGAGATGACAAATATAATACCTGTATCCTCATCCGGGCTGTAGGGGTTAGAATGTCCCTCAAATAGGTCAATGGTCTTAATTTCTAGAGATTTTTAAAAAGAAAATTCATTTGAAATTAGAGCTATGAGAAAGTCCTCTCTGGTTATGGAGCTACAAAAATGGCAATGGGGGAGGAGGGGGGAGAGGTTTGTGCGGGGAGAAGGGTGCAACAATGAATGAATGGAATTCCAAAATCTCTGTAGATGTTCATTGAAATGAAAAATAAATAAACTAAATTTAAAAAAAGGCAACAGGTGTCCTCATGGAGAAAGTCAGTGTAAGAGGTTGACATACACAGAGGAGAGCTGTGATATAGAGAAAGAATTTCAGGTCACCTTCAAGAACCTAAAACATCAAAACTTAACCACCCAGAGACCAGAATATCCCATGATAACCAGAAAGTACCTAGGTTAGTACCCTGTTTGCCTCAGCTAGTTCAATTTAGTTACCATCACATACACATGTATACAAAGGTCACAGATAACACAATTTTTACACTTTTAACTTTTACATTTTTTTAACTTTTACACTTGTCAGTGTTGATATTAAATTTTTAAAACATAAACATCTACTTCTCCAATAAGAAAATAATATCCTTGGCTGCTAGTTTGTCATACATCTTTACTTCCACTTAATTTAAACACATAATAAGTGCTTCCAGTATTCATTCTCTCTCTCTCTCTCTCTGTTAAATCAACCCAACTCATTACCCTCCAGTAGGTTTTGGGAGGCTATAAATCACAAGAGAAATCTCCTCTCATCTTTCTCCCATGGAGCCATTAGTAGATTGTCACTACCAGAGAAGTGCTGCCCTGAGTTAGCAATGCAGCTCCCTAAGGCCAGGTCACCAGATGTTATGGACCATCAAATTAGAACTGACTCATAGCTGACCCTCTAGTGGGCTTTTAGAAACAGTAAATCTCATGGGAATAGATGGTCCATCTTTCTCTCTCAGAGCAGTGAGTGGATTCAAACCACATGCCTTTAGGTTGACAGTGCAACTTCTTACCATTAAGCCACCAGAGCTATTAGAGCTCCCTAATATCTATCTATTCATGGCTTTTGAGAAGTAAGATTGTAGCATTAAGATGAGGACTAACCTAGAACAGATAATAATTATTGTTAACTGATTTCTCCTTGTCCTGAACTTGAATCCAGCTGCTCAATACATTAGCGAGCCATCTAAATGACCCAGGAGTTTTCTTAAATGATACAGTTTATTTGAAATCTTAACAATTGTTTATTTCCATATATTATCTTAATAGTATAAATCAGGTTCTCACTCCTGTTAAATTAGCCGGTTATGTTACATCTGCCTCTGGGTAACTGGTGCACTTCTCCCCTTACTCACCCTGTACCCCAAGACAGCAAATATAATGATTATGCTTATTAGACTTAGTCTGGGTGTTGGTTTTGTTTTGTTTTGTTTTGTTTTTTTCTAGCTAAACACATTCCCTAATTTTGTACAAGGCCTTATGAATGGCGGTCAAAGTTAGGTGCTTTGTCTGAGGGAATAATTTCCTTCAGCAAGCAGTCAAACTTGTTTGATAAGGGCTTACAGAAAGAGCAGAAATGTTGTATACCATCCCTTTGCTGTTTACAAAAGAAAACAAATACCCAGATACTTGTAAAGGTAATGTGATGTTTTACTATTAAATCGCAAAATTAGTGGCAATATTGAAAATGAATTTAATTTGGCCATTGAGTAGAAACCAAGAATATATTGCTATAAAAAGATAAAACCAGGGAGTTGATGCTTAAACATGAACATCTGCACAGATGGAAATTCCCAAGATGCCCAGGAGTCCAGCCTTTGCACATGCGCCAGCACCAACCTTATCTAAATGGAGAAAAAAAATTCAAAAGAGAACTTAAGAAATATATTTTAAGAATATAGAAAACCAATGCATTAAAAAAAATTTTACCACAAGTTGTATGTTACACAAAGATTCCAGATTTTAGCTACAGTTGTATTATGAAAGATAATACCATATTAGCTTTAGCAAGACTGGCAGTTCCTATAAAAGTTGACTGGCTAATTTTCAGCTGATGCTGTAGCATTCTGTGACAATGTTATCTGTATATATCTTTATTTGTAATTACCTATGACCATACTAAAGAAAAACATCTTGATATAATTTTTTCCTGGAAGTAGAAATGTAATGAATGTTAATTTCTGTCTTCTTTAATTACATTCTTCTATTCTGGGCAGTTTATATTGTTATGCTCACTAACTATTGGTCCTGCCTCACCTACAGTCTGGACCCAAATCCACAGGATTAGAAGAGTATCATGTTAAATGAATGAATCAAGGGTTTTATGCTCTGTCAATATGCTCTACATAATCTTTAAGAATAACAGGATCCAATAGTTTTCCTCTGCCACTACAGTAATTTTTTTTCCAATTCATCCTCAACTTACTCAGTAAATTATGTGTTCCTTGGCAACCAAAGTTCAATATCTGTTTTATCCCTAACATATTACAATTCTCATATCTTGTATTTATTTCCCAAGTAACACCGATAGAGGCAAAGTGTGCATTTATCTCTATTTCATGGATCACCTAGCAGAGAACATGACATTTTGTGTGAAGACTCTGAAAATATTTTATGACTGAACAGTTAATTGGTACTCACGTGTCTTTTCAATAACTTCTCCCTTGTACAAAGGGACATGTTTGCAAAGATTCTTAATAGGTGACCCAAACAAGAACCAATCCACATCAGTGATCAAAGACTCCAGAGGGTTGTACTTGACCCAGGTGTATTTGTTAGAGAACATGTTGTTCAAAGCCTAGATTAGTGTAAGATTAGTACAAGTCAAAACCAAGTTAACAACATCTGGTATATTTTATTATAAATCTTGATCTTTATTTCCTCCTTAAGCTTATTAAGTAGAAGGTGGTCAGAGTTCTTAAGACATCGTCTCTTTCTGAAGACTTTGCAGAAAATTCTCATTATAAAGTACTTTCTTACTCCTGGGGACAATGATATTGAAACATAGTAAGTCCCACGCCAAAATTGACATGGATTAAGAAGTGAATTTTTTGCTTATTCTCAGATAATATATTGTTTATTTGTGTCTATGTGTCATTGAATAATGTGTCTAAATATTACTGAATATTTTAACTTCACAAATTTTTCTGACAATTACTATAATTTAGATTCAAGCTCTGAGAGATTATTTCATGGGCTGTGTTGGCTTAGTCTTTAGAGGGTTATCCTACTAATCCTAAAACCAAATTTACACCTAACCAACTCTTTTTTTTCTCTCCCTATTTGAATCCAACAGTGATTGTATGGCAGGAAGACGATAAATCTCTTCCCATGTGATTTACAGCTTTAGAAACCCCAAAGCAGATTGTCACTCAAGGACAGTGAACCAGTGAACGAGTGAGCAAGTGAGTGAATAAATAAGTGAGTGAGTGAGTGAATGAGTGAGTTAGTGAGTGAGTCAGAGAGCAAGCAAGTGAAAAAGTGAGTGAGTGAGCAAGGGAAGGAGAGAGTGAACAGTGAGCAATTGAGTGAATGATAAAAGAAAAAAATAAGTCAACATAACTGTGACTGTATTGTTTCAGACTCATAACAACACTCTCTGTTTCCAAGGCTGTAAAATATGAGAGGAGACTGCTCATCTTTGTCCTGAGGAAACTCTGGTAGATTTGAACCACTCAGGATGGGCATTTGGGTTAGTAATGAAACACCCTAGGAATTATGCCAATCTGTAATTAATTATGTTGTGTAACTTATCATTAATTTTTGTATATACAGCTTTGTAGTGGAAACAAGAGGGATGTATTATTCTTAAAAGCAAGAAGGCAAGTGTTGTAAGGTATAGTATAAATATGCTATCCATGAGATTAAAATACTAGGATCTTTTCCTTGCAATGGTGCTTACTCCATTTATGAGGGTCCCTCCCTTCTCCATAAGCATGGCTGAAGAATAGACTGTATTCTAATAAGGAATATAAAAATTACCTGTTTTTCATAGATATACCGCTGGAGCTGGTCCAGTGCAGGAATTTTTTTATGGTCCATTTTCAAGATGAAACAGGCCCTTCGGGAGAGCACTCTGGAAGCAATGTAACCCTGGAACAAGAAAAACAGTGTTACTTCACTTTCTCATTTGCATGGTCTCTGAGCTTGGTGAGGATCAATTTGAAGGAAAGACTTGAATTTGCACAGTGAATGTTTGTATGCAGATGCAATCTGCAATCAATTGTATCACCTTGGTTTCTTTCATTTATTCTTTCTATTTGTTCACTTGCCATAGATACCTTTTCTGAAATTGTTCAAGTCCATGGTTGATAATGAATTTTTCATGTAATGAGATTAAAAACTGTAGTCTAGGGTTTGAAAAGATTGTAAAATAACATCTTTCTGTCTTTCTTTCTGTTAATTGAATCTGTCCCCAGGATAAGATTCTCTAGAATCATGCAGTGTAGTAAGTCACTAGTTGCTTGTTAGTTTTCTGTGCCATAGCTTATGGCGAACCTATGAACCCGATTATCTGAACCTTGCACTTTCCTGTGCCAACTAGTTTATAGTTACCATATTGTAAAGTTCATTTCCATCACTGAAGAAAGTTCTATTGAATAGAGCCACTTTAGAAACTCTCATAAACATGCTCATGTCACACTCATTTTGAATAAACACATTTTCCCCCAATCTTTTCTCCTTTACCATTTTATCTCTTTCTCCAGTTCTATCATTTCTCCACCTCAAACTTAAGTTGTTTAACAGATAAAATGAGTTGAAGGAAGTTAGGATTAAGAAAAGTTTTTTTCTAACCTTATTGTAAAATAAGGGGGGAGTTTTTCTAAAAATTTCAAAGAATTTTATAACCTATATTGCAATTCCTTTACTTCCTAATTCTTTCCAGTTATCACAAGCTAACAATTCCTGAAATTCAAAGTAGACTAAGGTGCAGGCTGATAATAGTGAAGAGACTTAAACTAAATCTTTACCATGCTGTAGCCTCAGAATTACAAAAGAGTTTGATCACTAATAATGGATTAATCTTGGATTTATACAATTTGATGAGTGAAAGAAATTAGAAGAATCTGTTCTAGAAAACAATATATTTGAATTTCATAAATAAACTAGTATAATAATTTAAAAAATTTAAAAAACAATCTATAAAAAAGGAATTTGGAGGTTATTCTGAGTAGGTGTGTACAATTCTTAGTTAACCTTATTAATGCAAGGAAAGGTTTGAAACCTTTTCAGTGGGTTAAAAACTGAACTTGAAGAAAATAAAGGTGATTGTGAGAAAGAATTGGTTATAAGTAGGGGTTGGTCCAACGTTTTCAAGGAAAGGGAAAAATTTACATATTGTCAAAGGGCAAGGAAAAGTTACCCTACCTATGTGTGAACCTGGAAATTGCTTTTATTTAAAGACAATTTTGGAATTTCCCTGGCATATGCTTAAAAACAATTTCAGTACAATTTCCTTTTAAATTATCTCTTTTAAATATTTTCACTTAGGATGGGTTAAGATTTTGTTCTGTTGTCCATAAGGTGACTTTGAGTCAGAGCAGTGTCCATGGCACCATCTATGTAAATAGTAAATAGTAATAGTAAATATGACGGAAGAATTCTATATGGAAAGATGTTTGTAGAAAAGATCAATGAAAAGGACAGTAATTGAATTATGTTCATGGTGTGTAACTCTGTGTCCAATCAAAAACAGGTTCACAAGTGAGTGAAATACATGGAAAATAAGTTAATAAATGGATAAGGACAAAATAAGCATTTCAAGCAGATTTCTGAGACTTATTGTTAATGTCAATATCTGGATTATATATGTTGTTGTTATGTGCCGTCGAGTCCTTTCCGACTCATAGCGACCCTATGCACAATAGCCCTAAACCCTGCTCTATCCTGCGCCAACCGCACTGCCTCTGACACACCCATCCCGATTACCCCAGTCACCGAATCAGT